AGAATATCGTAACATTTCATAAATGATTGATTTTTAACTATCATGGTATTTTATATCGGTTATTAAATTTTAAAATTAATCTAAGAAAATTTTATATTATTTTAAATGATTATTTTTTTTGTAAAATATCTTCAAACATAAATAAAAGTCAATAAAATATTAGATAATTGCTGAAAATATTTTAATTTGTAAAATATTTGTACTTAAAATGAAAAAATGGGTTCATTTTGATTTCATAAATTTATCTCAATTCTGGTCATTCAGAATGTCATCACTTCATAACTTATCAGAGATATTGTTGTGGAGTGTTTTCACAGTGGAGGCTTGTATCTCTAATAAGTCGTCCTAAATTAGGTCCGACGTACAAAACATTAGGAACTTGGAAAATAAGAGTCAATGGCACAGCAATCTAGTTGTGATGGTTGGTACTTCAAATGTCCGAATCTCGACTGATGCGCTCAACACCATTCTGCCAGACTTGCCACTGCTACTCCTACTTATTATCTATGGGAGAGTCCATTACAATAGAATAGGTACTATGGCATAACAGATGCTGATAACGTCAAAGACATGGTCAAAAGAGGACCTGTTGTTAAGAAATGCTTGTATACTATATTTTTTATGCTATAAGTAATTTGTTTCAAATCAGATTAATTTAACTTAAAAGTTGCTAATTTTACTCAATGTGTCACCACAAATATTTTATTTTTGGAGGATTTAAAAATCAAAATTACAAATTTCTTAGAATTAAGAAAATGGCCACTTTAGAAATTTTTCTTAAATCAGCCAAAAGTTGGATTCCAATCTATATAATTTTTATTTAAAATATACCTGAATATTTTACTTACTGGAAATAAATTTAATCATTTTACTTTCAATTATAGATAAAATGAAATCTTCAAGAATGCTTTTTCATTTTTTTAAATTTATTTTAAACCTTAGGTATCAAAAAGTCAGTGGCAGTACCTAGATTTATAATAGGATTTTAAAAGATTTCCTCAGGCAAAATATGCCACAGTGCACAAAAAAAATTTGAGTTCACAAGAAATCTTAATGTGTATACCACAAAAAAAAAAAAAAAAAAAAAAAAAAAAAATTTACCTTTTAGTTCGCCAACACATTCCAAGTTTGGAAATTTCCAGAAAGAGAGAGAATTGTTTGTAAAGCCATGTCCTGTAACTATTTCTCGATGTTCTTTTGACCACAACAAGGAACTTATCTGAATCACAGAAATCTCATTTAATAAGAAAAATTTACCTGTAAGATTAAAAAAATACAATTTTGAAATATTTATAAACTAAACATTTTAACAGCTTCAAAATGAAGTCCTTGATAAGTTGGGAAATATTTGGGGCCTTTAAAGCTCATCTACTTAAAAGAAAATTCACAAATTCAGTCTTAAATATCAACTCTCAATGTACAAACTGTCATAACCTGCCACATGTATACTCTGCAATAACAGATGACAACATCATTGCAAATAGTGCAGAAAGTCATAGAAAGGGTGAGACTGAGAGCCAAATATTTATAAGGCAGGTTTGAGTATTAAATGTTAAAAGTATTTCTTCATCTTAAGTAGGTTCCAAAACAAAATGATTTTAAATCTCAGAATCCAAGTACTTCAAAATAGGAAAGTTAAGATTCATAGTTGAACTCCACATGATTTAGAAGAAAAAAAAAAAAACCCACACACACACACACACACATATATATATATCTGAAATCCATGAGTGGAAACGATAATCCAAGTCAGTCTTTTTCATATAAAATATTAAAAAGATAGATCCATGAAGAGAGCTCAATGTATTGCATACAGAGCAATATGATATCCATCAAAGGAAAAAAGCTTAACACATCTCGAAAAATTCAATAATAAATTTATTTTGGCAGGTAAGTTTTTAATACCTGCCTCATCAGGCCAGAATTACAAAGGTTTAAATTTATCCAGACAATAGGTGGAAAAAAAAAAAAAAAAAATCACAAGGGAACAGGAAGCAAGTCTAACTGCAATTTATCTGTGTATTTATATTATTGAAGAGATGTGTGGGGAAGCAACATGTCAACAGAATGAACAGGGGTGGGAGGACAAATGACAGTGAAATACACTGGAATCGAACCAAAATTTAAATCATATTATATATATATATATATATATATATATATATATATATATATATATGTGTGTGTGTGTGTTATTTTATAGATACAAATATTTAAGCAAATAAACAGTAATTTGAATTTGATAACCAGATGCTTCCTTTGCAGCTAAACGGTATAGCATGTCAGGCTATATGACAGTTCCATGTAGGATGACATTTTCTATGAAGTTTCTTGGCCGATAAAAGTAGTTAATACTGTTTATTAAAAACAGCATTTACTTAAATATTTATATCTATAAAAACAAGGTATAAATGGAAAATATATTAAAATAATTGTCAGACTTTGCCCATTTTCTTCAAAACAATGATATAATTTGTCTATTTGGGACTTATTGCAAAGCTGCATGATAAACATTTTTGCTCCTCACCCTATTTGGGGTCAGTACAAATAGCTTTTTTCCATTTCCAACCCTTGAACAACCAAAATAGAACTGGCTGTGAGAAAAGTAGGGCTCCAGTTACTTTCAATGATTGTCCTTAGGACATTGCAATGCCCACTCTCATTGGAAACTGAAGTCTTTTGAACTCAAAAGGAAGATCTGGAGGAATTAAGAGGATTTTTGGAATTAAAACTCTTTCCTCCTTTCCTGGACCAGTAAGGATCTCTGCTTTCAATAGATGAGGAAGTATCTTTTTGACAATTAACCTTGTGCCATTACAAATCTTTGGAGGATACAAATTTCTCAATAGCATAACTGACACATTTTCTTTTAGTTCCAACTTGTGTGATGGCATTCCAGGAAGATCCAATGAATTCAGGAACTCTGTTGGATAATTCACTGCCTGCTCTTGTTCAACCAGTGTCAACAAAAAAAGTACTTCATGTTTTTTTTTTTTTTGGGGGGGGGGAGATTTCTTAGATAAGTTTCCTGTTGATTCTGTCCAGTTTGATTCTTTGGAGCTAATATGGTGATCTCACAAAGCCAGTTTGAATCCATCGAATGGTGTTTAATGTTTGGATAAACAGGATTAATCAAGTCTTGGATATTTGAAACTCCACAACCATTTGGGAGTGCAATATCTTCATTTTGGTCCATTTTGATGGTTCCATTGCCAAGCTGCAACAGCAAATCTTCCTGCTCCATGGTCACCTGTGATTCTAACTCTGTTTTCAGGCTGAGTCTTTGAACATGGCTCCAGATGTAAGAATTTTTCAGGCAAGCATTGATTTCATCAGCTAGAGTTCCTCTTGCAATGACTGGTAATGTTTGTCTAAAAATCACCAGAGAGTGTAGCATAGCAATGCCTCCCATGATTTGTGAATTCTGTCTAATGTCTGAGTGTTTTGTCCAGGGCCTCAAATGCTACATTCATCCCAAACAATGAAGCTGGTCTCTTCCAGTAGCTAAGCAAAGTTGGTTGCTCTTTTGATGTTGCAAATAGGGGTTTCATTGTACAGTGCAACCTTGGTTCTCAAACGTATTACATGTCAAACAAATTGGTTCTCAAACGTATTACATGTCAAACAAATTGGTTCTCAAACGCATTACATGTCAAACAAATTGGTTCTCAAACGCATTACATGTCAAACAAATTGGTTCTCAAACGCATTACATGTCAAACAAATTGGTTCTCAAACGCATTACATGTCAAACAAATTGGTTCTCAAACGTATTACATGTCAAACAAATTGGTTCTCAAATGGAAAATTTGAGATGAAAATGCCTCAGTTATCAAACAATGTTGCCAAATGGAATAATTTCTGAGGCGACCACTGTATTGTATGCATTCGTGTGTTATAGCGTGCTTTTCTTTTCTAGTTTTATTGTACTGTGAGTTTTTTTCTTTACATTGATTCCTATTGGAAAAATGGCCTTCAGGAACGAATTAAATTCATGAACCAAGGTCCCACTGTAGTTTAAATCCAATGGAAGTTTTAAGATGGACAATGTTTAAATAAAATGAGGCAAGAGATTCAGGATGAAAATAATTCATATAGTAGACCAGGTAAGAAGTGTAGTCAAAGTAAATTCACATACAACATAAAAAAAAGAAGTGTCTGCAGGCAGAGAAATTCTATAAAAAGAAAGAATATACCTTTTTCGCATTTTCAAGATGTTTTGCATATAAATATTCAGTATTTATATGCAAAACAGACACATGGGTGTTAAATTTGAGAGGACCCCTCTCAAATTTAACAATTCAATTTAGTTGCTAAACTGCACTTGAAGGGGAAATTGAAACATTTCATCATGCCTGCAGTTATGTACTTGCCAAGTATTTTGATATTTGTTATTTAAAAATCAGAAAGGTCTCACCTGAAAAATAGGAAGCAAGCATAGTTACCTGTGAATGTGTAGGTTGAGATTTTGTTAATCTACCAGTTTGTATATTCCATAAGCGAATTGTCTTATCAGAAGATCCTCCACCTGATGCTAGTAAACAATGTTGCCATGGACACCAAGACAAAGCCTGCAAAACAAAAACATTTCCAGTTATTGCAGACTTTACAAGTGCCAAAGTGTAACAAGAATGGCTTGAACTTTAACACCAATATAGAGTTGAACAATATACATTTAATACAGCCAAATACAACAGGATTTTGTGAATCTTCAAGTATGTAATTTGTTTGTAGAAGATTTGGTATTACAGACAGATACAAGGTGAGGTCAGCAAAAGAGAACATGCAAAGGCATTCTTACATGACAGGCTAAAAGAAAAACATGGCTTCTGAATGATAGAAAAATTACCAGATGGAATAAATACAGCAAGAAACAAAGAATTATTGAATGTCCCACCCCAGAAATTAAAGAATTTTTTCTCAGACTTAAATACTCCCAATTAGTGGTTTTTTCTAAAATATATATAAAAAGAAAGAAAAAAAAAAAAAAAAAAACTTACCTTAATTGCTGCTGTATGACTGGCAAATGAATGCAAAGGTTGAACAGAAGGTCCTTGTCTCAAATCCCAGACATTGACAAGATTATCATTCCCACCACTGGCCAAGTGAAGACCATCGGGTGACCATGTCAGACCACACACTATACTTGAGTGACCGTATAAAGTGCCTACGCAATGTTGTGGTAACCGAACATCATGGTGATAAATACAACCATCATAAGTCCCACTAGAAAAACAAATATGATCATTTTAATTTTTTACAGGTTAACCCTCTGTGAGTTTATTTAAAGCACAAATCATACTTTGGATTGTAGGAGTTTGTGTAGAGTACCCAGTGTTCCTCAATCTAAGTACCGATTGGGCTCAAGGTCACTTAACATAAGCATTAAAAAAAAGAAATCATATACTGTTGGGTTTATTTATTCAAGTAAGGCCAAGTGTACCTGACTAACAAGGCAGGCCAAGTGTACAGTTTAAAAATCACTATTTTTACACCAGAAAATTAAATTTATATGTATACAGCTACAAATTTCAAATTTTATAAGTGCTAGGCGTTAGGCATTATAAAGAAAAATAAATTGTAGACATCAAAATCTACAAATAGCTACATTTAATAATTTTTCAATTAATTGAAAATAATTTTAGAAAATATAATCACCAAAAACACTTGTGCAAGTAAATCCAGTAAATACATGCAAATCACCAGATGATTATTTTAAGTCAAAGTGTAACAAATTTAAATGTCATTATATTATGCTGTCTGTAACTGTGTGCAGAGAATGTAATATTAAGTTGGGAAAAACTGTCTTCAAGCAAATCAAAATATTCAATTATCAATATTTTAGATTATAATCACTTTCAAGCAATGTCTCATTTGATAAATGTGGAACTTTGCAAACTATTCTTTGGCCTCCTCAAAAAGAAAAGTTGTGAAAAGGTAGACAATAAATGCTCAAGAGATTTAAGAACACCATAGAATAAGTTTAAAACAAGAAATGATAAATGACCAAATGATTGTAATAGTGAAGATTTCTTTGCAAAAGTAAATTAAAATTAAGCTTAATAAATACATTGACAATACATTTACAGTATAGGATATCTCTAGTCGTTTTAACTTTATAGATTTTTCATTGATTAACAACAAATCAAGAGAAGCCATTACAATAAAATTGGTTTTTAATCAGTTTTTGCTTCTTTCATTTTAATTCAGAATTTTAAAAAAATTGTAAGCCTTCATAAATTTTAACAAGATTTACTTGTATACAGGGTGCGATGGATAAATTGTCTAGATTATGCAAAAATGAAAATAATCACAACATCATTTTAACAGATATTTATCAAAATTACAAAAATATCTTGAAATATTAACAAGCAAATTAAAAAAAAGAAAAAGTCATCACTGGCTTCAAGCACAGCCTCCAGATGACTTTGGGATCCCCTGCAACTCTTCTGGATGGTCTCATTTAAGTGAGTTAACGCTTCCATAATCCTTGCCTTCAGTTCATCTTTTATGTCATAAGGAATTTTGTCTCACTCAACTGCGCCGCACACATAATAATCAAGGGGGTTGCAGCCTGGGGAGTTAGGTGGCCAGATGTAAAGGGTGATGTGGTCACAGAAAAGGTCTGACTGCCATGACTAGGTTCTCCTGCTTGTATGGCATGGTGCAGAGTCCTGTTGACAGTGTCTTCCAGCAGCCAACCTCTTGACCCAGGGCAGCACTACCCCCTCAAGGCACTTGATGTAAGCCTCCATGTTGAGTCTTATGCCCGGTGGGAAGATGAATTTGGGGCATAATGTCGCCATCACTAGTGATCACTCCAAACACCATGATATTGACTGGATATATCATCTAAACTCTTTCCAAATCCTCTGCACTGTCCTCAGATCAACACCCAAACACACTGAAATGTTCATAGTGTAGCTTCCGGCACAAGTGCCAAACAGCACAGCATGCAGTTTCAAAATTTCTAGCAGAAAGAATCATGTCATGGTGCTCTTTTACTCAGATTGTGCTCAACTGACCCCACTATGCTGTGCAGACGACAAAATCAAAAACAATGAACAAAATCAAAATAAAATGGCAACTATTTACCCATCACACACTGTATTTCATCCATTTGAATAATTTACAACCCATGATTAATCCTAATGCAACCTCATTTTGGATGTGCTATTATTCCTGATAAAAATTTTCAAAGGCAGAAGTATGGTAGTTGTAAACAACTTAAAATACGTACCATGTGATAATGTTAGCATTCCAAGAGAGAGAATGGAGAGAGCTATAATGCCCGCTCATGGTACGAAGCATTTTTCTGTATTGGACGTCCCATAGCTGAAACAATAGATTTTAGAAAACTCCATGAAGAATTTCTTTTTTTAAATGCCATCTCTCTTCTTGGAAAGGATAATAGAGTGGTTTCCTGTTGCCTACTTCCAGGGCTAAATTATGACCTTTTGGAGCCCCACCCCACTAACTAACCCACAACAGCCTTGAATGTTTTTTCTACAACATATTTGAGCGATATTCACATACTTTGAAGTAAAGCTATTATAAATTCTTTAAATAAACAAGAGCTATATTTTGTTTGCTAGTAAAACTAGCAACAAATATCACTATTCATTGCAAACCAAATTAGCACATATTTCAACCACTGTAGTAGTAGTAGTATGCTATATTTATGGAATAAAGTGCTCAATATCAGAGAGAATATATAAATATAAAAGTGAACACTGAAGTCAACACTCAGAGGCTACAGACTTTCATGCTAGACGCAGTTTTCAGGCAACATCATGGTGTAATGGTTAGCAATCCTGTCTTGCTAAAACAATTATGAGTAGAGGAGTTCAATCCTCACTTGTTACCCCATACTTTCAGCCTTGTGCCACATCTAAGATACACTAAGAAAAAAAAAAAAATCTCAAAATAAATGAGTTTGCCATAGATATTTCAGTTTATGAAAATTAAAATCACGGCTTTATAAAAATTTCTGAGAATTAAGTATTTTGTACTAAAATCAAAAAAGTTTTACCTCCTTGAAACAATGACAAACTAAAACATTCTTTTCCTGGCTTTGCTTCCCGCAAAGTCAAATAAATGAGTTTGTCACATTGATATCATTTCAATTTATGAAACTACTTAACACCTAGAAAATTAAAATCATTGCTCTAGACTGAAGCCTATGCTAGCCTAAAGGATAATATGGCCATGTCTACTCCATGGTTTTCAATGCAGTCGTCCTTCTCAACCAGCTGCCAACCAAGACTATGAAAAAAAAGTTACCCTGCAATTTAACCTATAGCTAGTTGGAGAAGAAAAAATGGATTTCTACCTTTCTCAAAGGGTATAATTGCAAAGTAAATGCAACAGATCAGGGTAAAACTAACTTTGGCTCATCAATTCCAATTTATATGACAATAACAGATATGACCCCCACTCCCTACATACACATCCAAAAAGAATTGAGCATCTATAGAAGTATTCTTAAAAAAATAGATTTAAACTAATAGGATCTGTAAAATTCCCATGATTACTGGTAAAGACTTATTGAGCAAGTGTTACAATAAGATTGGAACGATTTAGGATATGCAGAATGTATAAATATGAATACCTTTAGCAAAAAAGATTTTAAAAGAGAAAGTTGAACTACAAATTACATTTCCACTTTGCAAGAATCTTATTTAAGCGTACATTTTTACTTATTCATCATTTAAAGTTTATGTAATTTAAGTGTAGAAATACAAGATTAAGTAGTCCAAATTTCATAGAGAACATGCAAGACATTCAGGATTTAAACTTGCTACCTTTTGTATATGCTAAGCAGAGACTTGACAGATACAGTAGCTTCAACAAAATACCTATATTATGTTGTCTATCGCTTGGTAAATAAAATGAAAGCATAATTTTCAATTTTTTTAAACATTGTACAAAGCTTTTAAAAGGTAAAAATTCACTTCTGCAAATATTTTTTATAAGCATAACTGCTTTATCTTTGAAGTAATGATTCTATTTTCACAGATAATCTTTAAATATAATCCTCTAAATATTTAGATGTAAAATTCTCAAAAGATAGCATTGTGTCCAACTTAAAACTTACTTGTAGGTTGCCACCATTGTCACCAACACCAATATAATTGCCTACATCATCAAATGATAAACAGGAAATGTAATCATCTTGGATATTTTCACCATTTATCAATTCATGGACACTGCTTCTGTCCATTTCCAAGAGATGGCAAGAATAACACAAAGCAACACACATTGTATTCTTTGAAGACCAATCCAACAGATTCAAATCTAAAATTAAAAAAAAAAAAATTTTCAATGGCACATCAACTGAAATATGTGAAGTGTGACAATTCTTGGAAAGGCTCTGTGAAAGCAAAGTGTCACCTTCAAAATAAAAATCTATGCATTTTCTGAGATTATGAGGCCAATGCTGAAAACATTTTTGGAATTCATGTTCTGAAATTAGTAATTTAGTCATGTGTTGCTGAATGTCAGCAAATCTGTCTTTTCAGGATATTTTTCAATTTTGAAATTTGCAAAAAAAAAATCACAGAGTTCAAGTTGAGAGAAAGAGGATGGCCCATTTTTTTTTTAATGGTATTCTGATAGCTAGGAATTTGCAGACTTTTAAAGCATCATGCACAGGAGCATTGGCATAGTGGAGAGTAATCATCAGGCTAGAATTTTACCTCTAAATAGTTTTTTTAGCTGCCCACTTCTTGCATCATTATATATCTCAATCTTCCTTGAACCACCCATGTCATGCAAAAAAAAAAAAAAAAAAAAAAAAAAGCTATAAGACTAACATTCCACTAGCACTTTTACCAATTTTCAAACAAAAGTTGATCATTTGCTGCTCCAGATAACTTTCATATTCCATCTATGAACACGTACAACTTCCTCTACTGCTTGGCAATGAATTCATCTGGTTGACGTCACATGAAATTGGGAGTTAGATTATGTCCAAATCTGCTAGAGCACATTTGCCTCAGTACTCCAGCAACATGCCACAGTCATCCCTGAAATTTAAATTGCCACACCTTTTATAATCATGTCATATCCAATGAGAGACACAGTGGAGTAATGGATTACAGCTCAGTTACAGCTCAGATTGAGGAACCAGAATAGAGTTTATTACATTCATTTACATGCTAATACTTTTGAGAAACACATGAATCCATTTCTATGGGTAAATAGTAGGACAAATGGGGTTCTATAGCCTTGGGTAGCAACTGGTCTAAGAGAAGGAAAAACTGAATTCAAAACCACCTACTATAGGTAAATAGTAGGGCAGTCTGGGCTCTGTAGCCATGTGTGGCAATCAGACTAAGAGAAAGACAACTGAATTCTGATCCAGAGCTAGAATGTCGGCAACCATTTAATGTCCTGTTCAATTTTGTTCTGGCAACTTCTGTGACAATACCAATGCCAAGTTGTATTGGCCGCTGTCTTTCTCTTGGGCAACATCAGTGACATGGAGAGGGGAGATGTGCTGTATGGGCAATTGCTGATCTCTCAAAATAATCCTGCCCAGGTTTGCATCCTGGAAAGGGCATAACCCTTCGGGTGCAAATTCATAGTCTCTTGAGACCGATGGATGCCACAATAATCCAAGGCAATCAAAAACTAATGTTTGTGCATAAGATTTATCCAAACTCCTTCAGACTTCATTAAATCCTTCCTACAGCAGCAGTGGAAAAAAAAGGGGGGGGCATTACTTTGAAACCATTATATCAGCATCAAATATAAGAGAGATTTCAATGAACTCCTGCTAAGAGAAAAATATATAGCAATAATAATATTCAAGTGAGAAATACAAGCAAACAGATGATAAATTTGAATATATTTCCAAATACCAATAAAAGTTTTAAGAACCAAGTTCTATTTCCTTTGATGCAAAGAAAAAAAAAAAAAAGTTTCTAAGTTTCCATGAATAAAAATGGACATTAAACATCGCTAACATCGTCTTGTCATACTTACAAAAGTTATCAATCAAATCCGGAGCATCAAGGATACGGTCAGGATGTGGATAAATATGTCGAAAACTACTCTTCTGTCTCTCTTTGTTTTCAGAGATATAAAGTTCTTCCAAGCTTTTACGACAGGCTATAAAAAAAAAAAAAAAAAAAAAAAAAATATTGAAAGCGGAATAAAAAGTTTTAGCTATACGAGAGAGACTACCAGATGAAGTTTTTTTTTAATCCTTTCTAGCATGTACATTTATTTTTTTTTGGTAAAAGTGATCAAGCAAAGTTTACTCGGGGTATTTTAGCACATACACAAAGAAACAAAAAAACATCAATTTGGAAATTCTTGCAAAAATTGAAATATTGACGATTTTAATGAACCTTCCAAATGGATTTATTTTTTTTTTTTTTTAACATCCATTACCCAACTCCACTAAATTTTAGGCAATTTCAAGAAATAAAACTTCACCCACTTCATTTTTACATTAGTTAAAAGCAGAATTCCTTGGAAAATTTTAGTAATCATTTTGTTTTTGTCAGGCAGGAAGACTATTTACAAAAAATCTGCTCTGAATCAAAATAAAAAATGCAATAAAACTGACATTATTTAATTAGAAAAGCCTTTAATTGCTTTTATGAATAAGTTATAAGGACACTATTTTCTTTCTTTTTTTTTTATTAATAATGAATATTTTTAAAAGAATTTTTTTAATTTTTATTAGAAAAATTAAAGTTTTAAATCTTAAAATCCTGTATTAATTTCAGCTATTTAGAGGAAATATTAAGTGAAAATTATATTTACTAATTATAAATGGTAAAGCTTAACAGTAATCAAACACCAAGACTTTAAAATTTTTTTTTCACATATATAAACATGTCCATTTTTGAAAATTGGGGGTCCATACACAACATTATCTGAAAATAAGAGTAATGAATAAGTAAATTTAAAGTCAACATACCTAAAATTAAATTACAATGAATATTTTCCTAAATTTTTAGGCTTACCTAGTACTTATGATTAAAAAAAAAAAAAAAAAAAAAAAAGACAATCATTCTTAAATTATGTTTTAACAGTAAAAAAAATCTGTCAACCCCTTGTTAGTTAAAAACACAGCTGCCGTTTGATTTAATAAAAAAAAAAAAAAAAATGCATTTGTATTATTTTAAACAAATATTTGTTTCAAATCGGATCAATTATGCTTTAAATCAGCAAAGTTTCAGACAAATATATTTTAGTTTTGGAAGACTAAGAAAATTACATTGCAATGAAAACTTAAAAAATCCTTTAGCTTTCAATTAAAGCTTCAAGAAAGTTTTTTCATTTATAAAAAAAAAAAAAATCATTTTAAACCTTAGGTGTCATGAATTACTGGAGTTACTTAAGTTTTATATTGCTCAGAATATTCTTTAGGGAAAAAACAATTTTTTCTTTTGGAAAAATCAAAAAGAACATTTTTAACATACTCCTTTATGAAATCAAGATTGTTAGTATTGAGGCCAGGTAAATGTCCTGTTCACAAGTAGCCAATTTATTTATTTATAATAAAGAAAAGTGGAGAAAAAGATTTTTTTCTATTCTTGATCAGTTAGACATCTATAAGAGATGTATTTGCACAACTCACAAAGAGCGCACAGCTTACATAATAAAATAAGTAGTAAAAACTGAAAAGACTGTCAATAGTCTTAAAATTAGATTCATCAAGAGTGAAATATCAAATTGATTTCATCAAGAAACACTTTAAATGACAAAAAGTGCAAAAACAGAAAATTGGTGAAAAATACATGAATGTCAACATCTTATTACTTCAACTTTGTAAAGATGTTAGATAAAAAAAAAAAAAAAAAAAAAAAAAGAAAAGAAACTTGCATAAATGGTAGCCTATTGGTTTGAGGGAATGTATAGGAGGGAATGTATAGGAGGGAATGTATAGGAGGGAATGTATAGGAGGGAATGTATGGGAGGGAATGAGGAGGGAAATAGGAGGGAATGTATAGGAGGGAATGTATAGGAGGGAATGTATGGGAGGGAATGTATGGGAGGGAATGTAGGGAGGGAATGTAGGAATGGAGGGAATGTATAGGAGGGAATGTATAGGAGGGAATGTATGGGAGGGAATGTATAGGAGGGAATGTATAGGAGGGGGAGGGAATTTATAGGAGGGAATGTATAGGAGGGAATGTATAGGAGGGAATGTATAGGAGGGAATGTATAGGAGGGAATGTATAGGAGGGAATGTATAGGAGGGAATGTATAGGAGGGAATGTATAGGAGGGAATGTATAGGAGGGAATGTATAGGAGGGAATGGGAGGGAATGTATAGGAGGGAATGTATGGGAGGGAATGTATAGGAGGGAATGTATAGGAGGGAATGTATAGGAGGGAATGTATAGGAGGGAATGTAGGTACAGAAATTGGAGTTTAGGAGCTCAAATTCCAATCTAGTCTGTTCCTTTCACTTTCAGACTTCTCATGTGCTTGAGAAAAGCACAAATACATCTGTTTTCTCCCCAGCCATTGGTTAAATACTAGTGTTGACCTGACTAGTTTTGGGATTCAACCAGTGTAGAAGAAAAGATGAATTCCAAACTGCAACAAGAAACCACTCCACAATTTCCCCAAAGTCATAATTCATAGAAATCAATTTGAGCTTTGATTACAGGTAGTGCCAGATTTGCATCCATCGCATCAAAGAGACTGGCACAGATATCTTTTCCCTAAACATGTTTTCCTGGTCAGTCACACGATATATGACCCACAGCCTGGCAATAGAAACCATGCATGGTTTTGAGTGGATTTTATGAGTAGAATATTATCAAATTCAGATCTTGCCATCTCTTTTCACTGATGCCAAAATAACTTATGTCGAAAATGAATAATTACAACAGGCTCTTCAACATACTGACAGTCACCAACTCATCAATGGCTGTCCTCTAACAAACTTAAATTGTAATGTGTACAAATTTTCCACTCAGGAAGACTACAAGCTAAGTCAATGACAGACATTTGTTATCACTTGTCAAATCAAAATTAAATGTTTCATCATTGGCGGCAAACACTGAATGCTTATCTATTATCCCTATAGCATGAATTCTTACACCCACTCAAGGTTTCTGCTTTAATAGCAGAAGAAAAAAAAAAAAAAAAAAAAAAAAAAATCAACCTAGCATAACTATCCTCTCTGCTAAAATCAAAATGTAATTTCTTAAATAGGTTACTATTGTAACCTATTTAAGAAAAAGGAAGTTACACTGACTATTATGGTAGTACTAACTTTTTACGGATACTGAATGAAGGCGACAAGTTCAGGACACCTGAGATGGATGAATTCTTACTCTTTACACAAGAGACCTATTACAATAATATTTCTGTATATAGTCTCTATATATACAATCTTTATGTTAAAGAAAAACATTTTTATCCCTTTTTAAATAAAAGAGTTTAATCTTGTATCTAGTCCAGTTAACTTCATAACTAATGCTGGGGATTATACATTACACCAACAGAATTGTTTGTAGCTGTCTTCTCGTTAGGTAGAAGACATTCACCCAAAACCCATCACATTCACATTACCTGATTTCTTTTTGGAGCTTCCAGCAAAGGACAGAACTTTAGCATTGCTTGGATCCACTCCATTGAAGAGAGCAGAGTTTAGTTTCTCTGAATAATCTTTAGGTTTACTTTCCTGTTGTAAGTTCTCATTGTTAACAATCATATAATGAGCCATTTCTGTATTCATACCAGACCGAGAAGGAATAAACCTACAAAAGAATTTTAACAATTTTTAAGTTAAAAAGAAAAAAGAAAAAAAAAGAGTTTCAAACTGTCATATTTCTGGAGGAAGAATGCTTTCTGTTGTAGTTAGAGCATTTGTAAATATAAACAATCTGGATTGCATTGTGATTTAGTTTCACTCTAAGCTATCATTAAATTATAAGTTACTACTCTTTGTGTGGGCTCCATATATAGGCCACTGGAGTGAATGGAAGTGGTGGATATATAGAATGATTTTTGTTTAGAGTTAATTATTTATGGTATTGACTTTTATTTTATTTCATATTCTTTGTTTAATTTCTTTGGCTTTCAAGTTATGTTGTAGCATACCTATGGATGATAATGGGGATGTCCCCATTCATGTAAATACTCTATGTTGGTCTGCAGTTGGAGGTTCGTCTTCAGCTGTGCTGAAGAAACACTGCCTCTGGGCAGTCATCTCAGGAAACAGCTACCTGACATGGGGAATTTTTTTGCCAAGCCTATGGGCTCGGATACCCCATATTGAATTCAGCTTTGTGCCACATCAGACCACGTGGGGCAATTGGTAGATATCCTACAGTTAGAGATTCATTGTGGAATTCACTCGACGCACTTCTAGCAGTTGACTACTACTATGTGCCACTGGCAAATCTTATGTGTTGTTCTTGTCATAAGTATTATTCATTACCAGTCTTCGTGTGATTATTCTATTCAGGAACCTTTCCTAGGATACAAGTTTGATATTTAAAATAAATTTTATTAACTTTAGTTTGAGTCAATACTTTGGAGTTGTGATGCAGTTGTAGAAAGCATAATAGGAATTTGTGCATCTGCACTTGGGAAGGAGATTTGATGTATGAAAAATTGTTTATAATAAATCATATACAGAAGTTATAAACCTTAATTTTTTTAATAACCAAATCAAATGTGAAAAAAGTTTTGTTGTGCATGTAATTTTGGAATCAAAATTATTGATCACAAGTCAATACCAACTATTTACTTTAAAGCTTGGAATATAATAAGCAATAAAAAGACTACAGAAATACTGTTCAATGTAAGAAAAATGTACACAGAGCAATATACAAAAGATACTTATATTTTACTGCTTTTCAAGTGGGTGATGAAGTAAAACAAGTATCTTTTATGCTTTTCATTATGTGGATAGATAGAATAAATTTTTGCATGGATTCTTCATTTAATAAAAATATTTTTTCAATAATTTACTTAATTTTGAAATTTTCCTAACTAAAAAAAATCTTGTTACACCATGCAAATTGCTTTTATTTTAATACATTATATATTTTATAATCTTTTAAAGAAAGAGTTAAAAACTACCTTAGTTTCAAGACATGTTGCAAACATTATGATAAAGTGACTTAAACCTATATCATATCCACAGTTCATGTATAAATTTGAACATTTTAAGTTAGCTGTAATGGAATGTCCCACACTCCCTATCACATATGTGGACTGACTATATTGGTAAATATGAGCACAGGATATACCTGGCAGACTTGCTTCAGGAATTACTAGCTTGCTAACTGATTCTGTCTTTCAGTAGTGTATTCTCTTTTACAATAAACCACTTTCTTTCATCTACAGGTGTGTTGCTGTTCCTTTCACTTGAGTACCACCTTTGTCTGTAACCTTCTTTAATGATAAAACAAATTTAAAATAATATGATAAAAATAAAGAGTTGAAAAGGTTTGATAGAGCCCACACTAACTATAATGACCAACATCAAATTGAATAATCTGCTCAGTTAAGCATAATAGAATAAATTAAAATAGCAAAGAAAATTCAGGTTTTAAAATAGTAGAAGCCATTTTATCTTTCACATTATACAGAAAATAATTGAGAAAATAATTTATCAATTATAATAATTTGGAAATTCAGTTAAAAATTGAGCCTAAGATTTTTTTGTTTTTGTTAAACCATTTTCACTCTACACAAGATTTACATTAAGAACTTCATAGATAACTTGGAAGAAATTCCTAAGCTTTCATTAACTACAACTTATTTGGCAATCATTTAATAATGATACCTATACATGCATGCATGCAAGAGATAGAAAGAATGTGGAGATTTATTACCGATCAAATGACTCAGATGGAGTTTTGGGCGTTTTGTCTCTCGACCTTTTTCTTGGAGTGGATTTAGCAGTCCTCAAAGGTGTTCCCAAGTAAAGAGTACTGGAGGAAGGAGACTTAAATTTACTTTTAGGGGTTGTGATCGAACATCGACCCGAACTGCTATGATGGCGAACAGAATGGGAAGATTTTAGCACTGCAAAACAAAAGCAAGGGAAAAAATTCATAATTTAAACAATTCTAACATTCATACAATTATTTTTACTTCCTTCAATCACTTAGTTTCCTGATTTTCAAAGCTATAGTGAATAAAGATAAAATAATAGCAAGTAAATATCATGAAGTCATTCTGTATGATGACCTAGAAAGAAAAAGTCACGAAAATTAAACTATAGATAAAATCAATTCCCACAAACTTCTACATAAAGAATTTAAGACAATTCAATATTTAAAATCTCAAATAATACAGAAAAGATTAAGTTTTCTATCTTGACAGTCTTAATTAGGGTCTAAAAAAAAAAAAAAAAAAAAAGCTGGTATATTCAACAAGTAAAATAAACAAAACTGAATTTAAAATCGACTGTTTTAATTTATTCGACACTTCAGATAAAAGCAATTTTTAAGATGATCAAATACAAAAGTGACGTTGGTAAGTAGATTGCTTTCGAAGAGAGATAACTCATAATTACAGCCGCTGAATGTGAGAGTTGTTTTGGCATTTATTATTTGAAATGATAGTTTACCTTTGGGTAAGTGTAGAGTGTTATTCTGGAGAGGTAGTTTCCATTTTTCGTCTTGTTTCACTGTATTTAAAATGGCTGTCAGATGGAGATTAGCCATTCTGAAATTGTGTGGAATTGCCTTGGAAATTGTCTGAAATTAAACAGATTTTTTTAAACATTTATGTAGTAAGATATCAAAATTCAACCCTAAATTCCAACCCAAATTCAATTGTCAGATTATGCTAAAAAATATTTCCATAGATTTAGTCTATTATAGAGTGCTTGAATTCATTTTAATAAATGCAACTTGTGCAAAATTCTATTAAAATTATACAATAATAAAAAAGCAAACATTTAAATTCTAAATAAAAATAGCAACTAAAATGTTTTTTAAAATTAGTTGAAATTTTTAAGCATTTCATATGATTTAAATTTTGCAAGTCATTTCAAATGTAGTGGTAATCAATTTTTTTTTTTTTTTAAAGTTCTCAAAAAACTGAGTAAAATTTATGGAATTAACTTTTAGAACAAAGTTACAAAATTCTTAAGCACTAAAAAGTTCTTATATAGATGTTTTATGAAAAAAAAATCTTTTTGGGGACAGACTTGAAGAGCTAGTTTTATTCAAAAGCTTTCCATCTTCTACAAAATAAAAATCTAAGATTTTTTTTTTTTTTTTTTATAGAGGATTTTACCCCCTTCCCCCATTTATAAGTAAAGCTGTAATTGGAAGCAATTGAAGTCATTGACAGAATGCTAGGGGTGGAATATATCCTTTTGTTTACTGATTTCAGATTCATGTGAAAATATAAGGGATGGTCTGGATTTTGAGATTTTTGACAATCATCAATAAAATGCCTTTCCAAGTTTTGCTCAATAAAAGTTTTTGAAATGTTAGTATTAGATATTAAATCTTTCAGGACATCAAATTGTTGTAAAAAAAAAAAAAAATGCAATGGATAAAATAAAAATGTTACTTTTATTTTACCCCTATTACAAAAAAAAACAAAAAAACAAAAACAAATTAAGCGCCATAAAGAAATAATTTTATTTAAAGAATATATTCCAACCTTATTGGTTAACTTGTATAGAAAGTCAATAATGACTTTTAAGCATAAACGAAACCAGTTTCTGCATTTTTATTCTTTCATGCTTAAGTTTAATTAAATTTGAATTTTTTTCTTTCTTAAATTTGGGGGGGGTGAGGGAGGGCGGGATTGAGAGAGGTAACTTATTCGATCAAAGAATATATTTGGAATATGCCTTGCTGTGTTATGTTCAAGCGTTAAGAAATTTTTCCATTCCAAGATTGTTAATGTTTCAAATCCTTAGTTTCACTATTTTTTAATTAGATATTTGATATTAGTCTTAAATTTTGTGGCCAATAATTTTTTTTTTTTTTTGCGAGTGTCATTTCACTCAATTGTTGATTCATTGTGGAATTTACTTCCCGGCGTGCTTGTCAAACTCTTTACCCCTGGGCAGAGAGGAACCCAGACGAGGCTATGCCAAAGGGCAGAGTCTCGTCTGGGGTGGTAGACAGCTACCCGACCCCGTTTTTTACGGGGTCCACGGAAAATTTTTGCCCGAGACTACGGGCTCGGATACCCCACAATAAACTCGGCCTTGTGCAACAAATGACCGCGTGAGGCGGTTAGTGAATATCTTCACTCAATTGTTGATCCAAGACAGCACCGAGATAATATTCAGTCACCCCCCCACGAGGGTGTCATGTGGCACAAGGCCTTTTTAACGTGGGCATTCCCGAGCCATTAGGCTCGGCCAAAAAATAGCCCATTTGAACCCGTATAAACGGGTTCAGGGCCGGTTTTACCTCCCCGAAGGAGACTCCGCACTTCGGCGTAGCCTCCTTCGGGTTCCTCCCGCCCGTAGGAAGAGAGTTGAACCGAACAGTCAGTTCAGAGGTGAACAGCACCGAGATTCAACATCTATTATTTACTCTCTTCAGTATTACTGTTAAATAAAATTAAAAAAAAGTCTAAAGAAAAGCGTAGAAGCTGCTAAGCTAACAATTAATAATTTAACATTTTTCTTCTATGACATTTTTTTTTTGTTTACATGCTTTTTAACATTTTATCATTTTTCAATTAAAATGGCGGATAGTGATAAATTGACCGTAAGCAGTGTTTACTTTAAAACCTTAAAAATTTCATTTTTTTCAGATTTGCTTTAAGTTATAAATAGAACCAACATTTTTAAACTTTAAAAAAAGTGGCTCTTTGAGTCATTGAGTAATGCAAATAATGAGAGGATGATAATTGCCAATTCTGTAAAAGTACAACTTTTTAAAAATATTTGCCCTAAAATATCGCGCTATATAACAATTATTAAATGACACCTTTTATAAGAAACATGTTATGGCCCAACAGTCAAACTCTTGCAAACGTTTTCTTTTTAATCAAGACCAAACATTGGATTTAAAAATGGATCACCTTAAAAAATTTTAATTGACAGACAAGAGTAAGAAAGGAATTTGTTTTTAATTTAAGTTTTGATTTGCATTTTTAAATTGCCATTTGATTTGTTGAATGAAAAAGTAAATCAGCTGACAGTAACTTAATTGGTAACGAAAACCAACCACTTTCAAAAATTTGAAGTATTATTCTAAAAAAAAAAAAAAGAAAAAAAGTCATTAAAATACGTTTTTTTTTTTAAAGAAAGTCAATCTAATTAAAATTATTTAGCGACTGTAGGGGAAAATAGTTTGTCAAAGACAAGTTATGGTTTTTAATTTTTTTTAATTTTCTTTCAATGCAGAAAAAAATGTAAAACTGACACATTTTTTTTTTTTTTTTTTTTTTAAATACGTTTTAGTTTTATTTTAAGTAAAAAGTAACAACAAAGTTTGAATTTAGGATATTACATTGTTTTTATTATTATTATTTTGCTTACTGGTAGCCTTAAAAATAGAGTCAAAGAAAAAAAGATTGTCCCTACGACGGCGAAAGTCAAGTCGAGTTTTAAAAAGTGTATTTAATTTGCTGAAAAATAAAAACAAGCTATGACTTTTTTGATGCAATAACAAAAATTTCTTTTAAAAAACTTACCAACCTTAGTGAAGAAGAAACAACACTAATACAATTTTCCTTTTAAAGTCGTGTTTTGGTATGAGAAATTTAAAACAAAAAATCAAGCACCTCGCCTTTTTCTTACAATTTAGCAAGTTGTTGTTGTTTTGAGTTGTTTTGCAAAAGACTCGCCAATAAGTTTGACGCATTTTTACATCTTTGAATTTCCTACTCTCATATCACGTGACAGGATTTTTCCGTAAACACTCGGCAATTTCCGTGAGACTTCCCGCCAGAAGTGCTTTGAACGATATAGCTGGGCTGTCTATATTTATCAACATCTGAACGGTTGGTAAGTATATTTTATTGTATTATGCTGTATTAAATCCGGATTCTTTGATTTAACAAGCATCATTGTATATTAGGTAAACGGAAAAATGTTTTAAAATCCCCGAATTTTGTCTAGTAGCTTCGTAAATATATTGGGTCGATTGGCGCACTACTTTGCTTTTTTTAACAACATGATCAAAATGGTGGATATTCTTCTTCGTTACAGGATTTTCTTTCTCCCTTCATTCGTATTTTAAGTAATCGATCGAAGAGAACATGAACTAAGTTTTACGCAGTTAATGATATTAATTTGATAAATGCTAACAGCACTCTCTGTAAGTGAGGGAAGCTTTAGATAATCTCTTTAAAATATAAAATTTACTTAAATAATTAAGAGACGGAACGACAACACAACAGACAACTCCATTATTTTGGTTTTTAGTTCATCTGTTGTTAAATTTTTTTTTAATTCTTACTAACGTTGATGACTGATACAGTAATCGCTTATTCACATAGTCATTTAATAATTAAACTGTTTTTCTATAAGGTTTTATTTTATCATAAATTTTTAAAAAAATGAGCTTTAAAAGTCGATTTCTCTTAATTTATCTAATGTTTACACTTTTTTTTTACGTAAAACGTATTTAGTATGAAAATTATTTCAGGTTCTGAAGCCCGTTTTTTTTTTTTTTTTTTTTTAAATTTTCAATTTATTTTTAATATTTTTATCGACTCTTATCATTTTTAAATCTTTAAAAAAATAATTTATTATATTCAGAAACAAGAAAAATGCGCAACTTTTATTTTCTATGATAAATAATTTCATCCTTTTTTTTTTTTTTTTTCTTTTTTCCAATAATCACATATTGATATTTTCTTTGATCGAATTTTGCTTTTAGACATAAAATCCTGACTAATTCTTATTTGTATTAAATTATTCATATATTCAGCGAAATGAAATAATAATAAAAAAATCGATGACCAACAAAAAAGCTACAAATGATAATAAAAATAAAACTGTTTTGTATTTTATGTTTTACTTTCAAACAATAAGTGAAGTCATTTTATACACCGTCGACACAAAAAAAGATTTTTAACACAAATTTTGAACTTGTTAGAAAGGAATAAAAAAAATTGAAAAATAATTTTAAAAAAATGCATTGTTTCCTATTTTTTTTTTTTTTTTTTTTTTAATAACATAAACATTTTGAGTTTTGACAATAAAACTTTGTTTTTATTATTAAGTTTGTGGCCTTTTTTCATCATGCTAATGTTTTTTCAGCGAATTATTGGACGAACTTATAACTGTTTTTAAAAATTTTATTTAACACCATTCTCCAAGTCGTAACCAAATTTCTAATGTTTCATATTTAATTTTTTAATCAAAACACCAATATTTCCTTCTTCCAAAATTACCCCACCCACAAATAAATCGATCGCACTCAAATCAATTATCCAATTTTTTTTCTGCAAATTCTTCGAATGATAAATAAGGAAATGCATTAGTTTTATTACCGTGTCTCATATTACAAGTAAATCTCATTTACAGCTTTTAATTTTTATGTGACGTCATAACGCTAAATTAATTTTAAGAATTCAGTAGTTCTAATAAATTCATGAAAATCAGTAACGTTAAAAAAAATTATAATTTAGCTTTTTTTTATCAAGATCATCGATTTTTTTTTTTTTTTTATTTGTTTTATAAAATCTAACTAAACTTTGCTTAGTTTTTAATTTATTATTATTATTAAAAATTCAT